AGTTTTCAATTAATGATGTAATTGAAGACCAAGTCACTTGGGCACATAATACAACTTGAAGAGTGAATGAAATTAGGATTTTCCCAATGTCGTTAGGATGAATTTGATTTTTAAACTTCACAAAATCCTGTTTAGTGTATGTTGTCCATCCTAGGTTAGGTCAAATCCTCCTTCACCCCACTTTTTCTACAGCGAAATCATATAATTTAAAAGAAGTAAATTTCTATTTTTACTCCCCCTTCACCCATGTCAGTCCATTTGAAGAGCAAAAAAAACTGTGATAGAGGGAGCATAGTGTGGTACCTTCTCATAGCATGCACGGAGTCTTTCTCTAACAATAGCTTTAGCATCATCAGAATGAGTAATGAGCTTCGAAACACATTGTGGAGTCGGAAGAAGTGGATCCATACTAATATCAGGATTTCCATTTTCACCCTTGACATTGATATTTGGTACATTGAAATTCTTCCCACATTGGCTGCAGATCCTTCGTCCAAGGCATTTCTCAACTAGTACTGTTTCTGGAAGCTTGAGATTTACCACCAGATCAATGTCTGTCATTCAATATTTCCTGCACGTAGAAAAAAGGAACTATTGAGAATTGCGCATGAACTAAATGTATTGGAGATATGCAATGGCTTCCCATTTTCCATCGGTAAGTGCAAGTTTGGATAACTGGTTAATATTGATTTTTTTAAACGAACAGGAAGCACGAAAGAAAAAGGACCCGATCATATAACATGATACCAGTAAATGTCCTAAAATTTGCTCAAAGCACAGAATACACAACAAACATTTGAGTTCTTGTTTGATTTTGATTCCTTGATAATCACTAATTTTCCATTCTCATTTTCAACCCCACATTATTCAAAAAGATTAAAAAGATCATTCATCGCGTTTCCCCATAACTTTTCCCTACTTTTTAACCACAAATTTACCCAACAAAAACCACTTTTCAAAGAATGACTTCTAAAAAAAATCTTTATCAAACAAGACTTGGATAAATGAAGTGCTTGGAGACC